TTCTCTTGTGATTGTGAGTTTTTATTGTTTCATTCGTCAGGGGAGTCGGGTAATAAAGATTTTTTTTGGGAATTGGGAGGTGGTAATCACTCGTGAGTCGCTGGGGGCTATTGGTAACTCAAGGAAATTTGTACGATGGCTATTTTATTAATTTTATGGGCTGAGAAAATAGCTGATTTGAGATTGATCAATTTTTTAATCAATTAATTGAGTATTAATTAATTTTTTAAGGATTGATTAATTTTTTTAATTGATTTTCTTTCAACTGAATATCTCGGAATCTAAGACAGACAGAATTCTTGAGTAGAAAATATTCATTTGTGAATTTAGATTATTTATTTTTTGATCAAGAGCGAAACTGAAAAAAGTTTTTCTTTTGAATTTTTCTGCAGTACGAAATGAGAATTGAAGGCTCTGTCACTCAATTTTTTGGATGAAATTCATGATATTTTATGAGAAATGCAAAGTTTTGCTTAGTGGATCCTCCAGCGCCTCGTGTGACTCTGCTTTCAGATATATTTAAACAGAAAAAAAATGAAAAAATAAAAAAAATGAGTAATTTTATTTTTAGAGGTTGGCGTTACAATACCATATTACAAATACAATACATTACATGTTATATTATTTGTCTGTTATTAAATTATAAGCGTCGAATTTACGTTATTATTTACCAATTTTATCATTCAATTTTTCAATGGTCAATGTTTGTCCTTCTTTGCTCTCTTTTTTTTGTTTCGTTTACAATTCGAATACTGCACCGGCCGGAGACCACTGAAGTATGAGAAATTAATAGGTAAGTAGATGTTTGAGTATTTTCAGATTCAATGGGTTCACGGAGAAATTGAGGAGTCGAATTATTTCGGCTTGGGTTTTGCTTCAAGATTTTGTATTTTGAGGAATGGTGGAATAGAACAATAATTGGAAAAATAATAATTTTTTGTTTTGAATTTTTTTCGCGTTCCCAACATTATTAGAAAAGGGAGGGTTTAGTGCATTTAATAGTTTCAATTCTACAGGACAACCTCTCATTTCTTATACACCTGTAACGCATCTCACACAACCAAGAATGATCATGTACAGCCGTGTACATATACGCCAACCAACGCCACCTATTTGGGTTTAAGAACGAAACTGAGGTGATGAGGTCGTGTATGTATAGTACAACACATTAAAAGCAATAACCTACACATAGAGAGATGCACTACAGGTCTATATTATCCCGTAACTCCAAAAATTATACGAAATCAGAGGCAATTTTTATAAGAAACCAAAGAAATATACCGCCATCACAAAATATATAATATGGGCCAATTCCATATATTTTTCAAATTTATAAAGAATATATAAAAAAAATATATAAACCATACATTTTATATATTTTTCAAAATATAAATTGAGCCGATTTAAGATATTTTTTCATGTATTTTTCAAAAGATAAATTTTTCCGTGTGGGATAAGAAATCGAATATAAGAAATGGGAGGTTCCGCCGTGTCCAATATTATCCACTCCACCCATCCCCAAAAACAAAAAAACATGCAAAACCCAATTGCAGAAAGGAATCGCAAAGCCAGGCAAGGAGAGAGCAAACGATCAATTTCCCTACGCCAAACGATTCGTGTGCAAAAGTACGAAAAAAAAGAAAGGAATTCATTTTTTTCTGCTCACAATACCTAAACATGATTTCAATAAATAAGCTACCTAACAAGCGAATTGTCGTCAATAAACTCCATTCAATTATTCTTTCATTTTCTTTTTGGAAGGGTTCGGGCGCTTCTCAAGATGGCGACCCTGCGAAAAGAAATGGGCCCTGACAGTGGTCCGGTGTGCATTCTGAACATTTTTTTATTCGTCTCGTTCCAAATTTATTTTACACAATTTTCTTCTATCCATGGCACTGTGTATTTGGATTCCTTCGGGGAGGCTACACAAATTCATAAAAATTACTAATGCTCCGGAGACGACACTGGCGAGTCTGTTTTAATCATAATTTCACCGCAGAGATGAAAATACTAGGGAATTAAGACATGTTTGCGTAAATGCAATTCAAAGTTCAATAGACGAGGAATGGAAAAAAAAACAGAAATAAAACTTCTGCTAGAGGATTTTTAATAAAAAATAACGATTTATTTTTAATAATTTTTGTCTAATAATTTTTTATAAGGCATAAAAAATAAAAATGTGTTCTTTTTCATGTCAGAAAGGATAAAATCTATTGACTTTTTTATTCACAAATATTGTTATTACATTTGTTCTTTGCAACACGCTGACAGCAACTGGGGTAAAACGGTTATTTATTATGAAAAATAATGTTTAAAGAAAGAATTGTCAATTCGTGATGATTTCTCCTCTGCGTTGTATTTATAACAATTTCTCTTCGCCGAGTCGCCATTGCGTCATAATCCGTGTTCTGCCTAACCTAATAATACAGTCTGCAATAGCATCCTAAGGATTAAATTTTCATTACGACTATTGTTTCATTTTTTTTTATATTACACACACTCGCACACGATCGAAAAAATTCCACTCACACGAATACTTTCTTTCATTATTATATATACCCATTCACACACGTTTAATAAATTCTCCACTCCATTAAACGACAAAAATTACCTGACGTCCAGTCTATCATCGAGTTCGCTTGTCCCACACCGGGACCTTTCATCCTTCATCTCCAATAGAAAAATTAAAAAATACTTTTGCGCACCACGGGAAGGCGTCCGGGAATCACCGCGTGATCATCAAGACTCGGTTTGAAACAAAAGCGCCTGGAGGGAGTGAAAAAAACTGACGAATGCCGAAAAAATCGTTCTTTTTCTGGGAATTGAATGAAACGAGTTGACGGTGATTAGAAGGGGGCAAATGATTCAAAGAAATGTTCAAACATACGAAGTGGTTCACTCGTGGGCGCCGCCATCTTGGATGTACCTGAGGCCTCTCAAAATGGCCGCCGCTGCACCTAAAAAATCTCTTAAATTTCCTCGCATTTCAGTAGTCTTTTTCCCTTCCGAGGCCCCTCAAAATTGAATAAATAGAAAAAAATATCTAAACCGAGTGAAAAAAATTACTGAAATGCAAAATGGAATGAAAAAATCTGAAGTATGGCTCAAAAAATTGGTTCTTTTTCGAAAAATCGAATGAAACGAGTTAAAGCTGATGAAAAGTGGACAAATAATTTCAAGATATCTGCAAAAATACGAAGTGATTGGAACGTGTGGCCGCCATCTTGGCGGCCCGTTCACCTCGTATTTTCAGACATCTCATAAATTTGCGCATTCCAGTAATTTTTTCCACTCCCGAGGCCTCTCAAAATTGAATAAATAGTAAAAATGTCTAAAATAAGTGAAAAAAATTACCAAAATGCAAAATGGAATGAAAAAACTCAAAGTATAGCTAAAAAAAACGTTCTTTTGTAAAGAATAGCATGAAACAAATTGAAACTGATCAAAAGTGGTCAAAGAATTTCACGAACTGTTCGAACACCCGAGGTGGTTGACCCACATGGCGCCGCCATCTTGAATACACTCAGACGGCCTCAAAATGGCGGCCTCTCCTCGCATCTTAAGAAATCCCTCAAATTCCCTTGCATTCCACTAATCTTTTTCACTCCCGCGGCCTCCCAAAATTCAATAAATAAAAAAAAAAAATTCTCGATGCATGATCGGTCTTCCCGGCTCTCACCCCCGAGGATTCACCGCGCGCACACATCGGCCGAGCTCTCAAACACATATGGAACATACATATAGACTAAGTAGGCGGTATTGCGCAGGCGAATTATTTGTATTTCTCTACTTTTAAACTCGTCATTAAATAGAATGCGATCGAGATTTTTTCGGGCGCTTGTGCGTGACTCGTCGCCATGTTCCATCAGGGCTTGGGGGGGG